AAACTGCAGCAGCTTGTGGGGGGGGGGGGGGGGGAGGCATCAATCAATCCTCTTTGACTTGAGAAGGGCGTTAGAATTGTGAATTTTGGAAGGGGTCTTAGCCAGGGAAGGGTGGAGGCTAGGGCGCGGAAGAGGGGAAGATGTTTTGGAGATGGAGGTTGGTGTTGGGAACGATCGAGCTTCTTGGTGTTGGGGGCACGATCCGAATGCGGATCTACGTACTAGTAGGAAAAACGACGCTCTGTTTTTCTCGTTTGCACAGCACGAGGAAGGCATGGGTATGAACGTAAATGCTTTGTTTTCGTGTTCGAGAGCGTTGCCGACAGCGGCCTCAGCACGGCCGAGGCGGGCCGAGGCAGCAGCAGCAGCAGCAGCAGCAGCAGCGGTTGATGCTAGGCCCGAGGATGGTCCCATGGGCAGAGATGGAGGGAGGATGAGGTCGGCACAAATCGTTGTTCTTGACGTTTTGTTGATGGTGGTGGTGTTCAAGGGCGTCTGAGTAGGCTGGGTTTTTGAGGCTTTTGTTGGTGGGTAGTGTTCTTGTCTAGTCGCCTCTTCGATGCCGCTGGTGGCGGCGGAAGGCGGCGTGACAAATCATTATTTGTTTATTTTTTCCAGTGGGACGAAAGGACAGCTAAATACCACGCTACCGAGTACAAGCTTGCTTTTGCAGGATATTCCCTGCTCAGTCATTTACAATTATTATCTCCTTTTCGTAAGAAGGACGCTCCGCAACTACTACACGAACAACCCCGGTCTTCGCACTCGGAACCGTATTCACGATTGTGTTTGTCATCGCCGCCGTCGACTACCACCAAAGTGCTTTCGAGTGGCCCCCCCTGGTTGACTTTGTTTTTTTTTCTCTTGTTCTTGATCGTGGCGTTGTTGTTGTGCATGGCGTCTTTCCACGGCCAGTATGTAGCTCGGGAGAAACGGTGTAATACGGCACACACACCCTGTTCACCAGGAGGGCCGTGCAGGAGGAAAGAACGCGACGACTATTGAGTGTATTTGTATTCTTGATAAAAATCTAATAGTGTGTGTGTTTTTAGACATTCATTCCCTGTTGTCGGGTTGTAGGCGACGGCAGTCAGTAGTCATGATAGCCAGCGGTCTCTTTGTTCTTGTGTCTTTATCCTCTCTTTAATTCGTGTGTGTGCTGTTTTAAGTCCCACGAGCGAGTTGTGGGAGAGCGGGGGTTTGTTGTGCGTGCTTCGGCCGCTCGCTGTCACTAGGAGTGTGTTTGTAATTTTCATACCTACCTACCACGCACGTGTGTGTGGGTTGTTAGCGAGGACGAGCGATTTGTGTGTTTGTTTTGACAGAAGAAGTGGAAGTATCGTGGTGTGCGCAAGCAAGTGCGGCCTTGCACAAGAAATGGGTCTTACTTTTAAATCCATCCTATAATAGGGTGAGCTCTCAGGCAGTTGCAAGCAGTGGTGGGCCTTGCGCAAAGAAGATCTGACTCCTTCGACATCCATCCTTTTTCTTCGTGTCCGTACAGGCAGGTGTTCCAAAGGTAGCGGTAGTCAGTATTCCTTCGTGCTGCTATTCTACATTAGTACCTGCACTACTAATACTACTGTCGTTTTGCTGTTGGGTTTTGTCGTCGATGGTACGCATACGAACACGTGTGAAAGCCGGTATCTACATTGATTGTTCGATTTTGATGTTCCGCCAAGGAAAAACGAACGCAACCAAGAGATTTTGAGGTGATGTAGTCCAAAAATAAATAGTCTGATGGTGTACTGTAGTAGTCTACGTAGCAACGACTTTTGGTGCGCGCTCGACTTTCACACACAGACAGCCACACGGTGCTCTTTGATGACTTGACTGGACCAACCGAGCGTGCGTCGTGGAAATAATAAATGATCCGCGAAAAAAGAGGTGAAAAGGGGAAAATAATCCTCCTCGGCTTCCATTGTGTGCTGGCACCTTGTGAAGGTCTCCTCTGGAACGACATTGTTACCCCCCCCCGTCCTCTCAAGGACGCGTGGTCAATGGTCTAACCGCTAAGGCATGCAAAACATAAGAGTACGCCCCCCTCCCCCCCCCCATTTGACGGGAAAAAAAAACGAAAGAGGCGTAGCGATGGCATCCCAACACCAACAACGGTGGGTGGGTGGGTACTTATATTTGCATGTAGAAACATTTCGTCGCGGGTTTTTTTCCGTAGTACTGCTGTAGACGGAAGGGGCTATTTCTGTAATAATAATGACCACTTTTTTATTTGGTGGTGGAGCAATCAATCGAGCTTTGAAAGGCGGTCTAGGGGCGTGCCGTCTCTCATCCGCTCACGCTTAATAACAACCGGGACCCGACAGGCTGGAAGCGTATCGTCGATCCTCTTCTCCGTTCAAATCTTCTGCGCGCTTTCTTCACCCACCGGACCGGCGTCGCCACGTCCGTCAGAAGTTAGTTGGACAGCGTCGAAAAACTGTTTTCTGCGGTTCCGCCCATTTTGTGGTGGTGGGTGGGTGGGTGTGGCGGGATGTGAAGCCGGGTTTCCTCCTTTTCCACCAGAAATGTTTCAGGCATCTATCTGTCTCTTCTCCGTCCACGCCAGTTGTTAAAGAGGAAATCGTCGTCGACAGACGTTCGTTTTTTTTTAAATTAATGATCACCTACTACACGTAAAAATGGGACAAGAGGAGTCTTTTGCATCGAAACTAATTGTAACTCGTCCATCCCGTCTAAATTCCAAAATACACTACTGTCAAGTAGCACGAAACGATCAGATAAATCGTCGACTCATAAATGATCGGAAAGCAGCAGCAGCAGCTGCAGCACCAACAGCAACAGCAGTTGAAAAATGAGCTTGGCATCTCACACGCCTCCCCCTCCGCCAGTCTACGCCGCTCTTAATTCTCCTTAGTTCATTCTCCTATGTACGAACACATGCACGGCTCGGCCCTAACGCTTTTCTTCTGACAACAACGTGAAAAACCAAACTCACCCGTATTTCCATTTTCCCTTCTCTCCAAATTGGCAGTGATTCTATTACCTGCCCCCACCCCCCCACCCAACCCCTTCGCGACAAGATTTGAACACCTCGGTGACGCCGAGTGTCCTCCTCCCCCCCCACCCCTTCGCGACAAGATTTGAACATCTCGGTGACGCCGAGTGTCCTTTTCACCCCAA